ATTTTTTTATCTTCTCAACCTTCTTGCTATATGCAATCACGTTAAGTTAATTACTTGCACTGTATTCAGAACCCTCATCATGTTTTCAAGCAGTGTCTTAGAAACTTGCTGGATGCCACTGTCTTCTATTTCTTTTGTAGAAATATACTATTGCAATTAGGGGCATGTATGGGAAGGACGGGGCTGGGGATTGACCTAGCCCATGAATTGGTTTGGTGATTTCCGGCAGGTTTTGTCATGGGCCTAACCTTGTGGCATCAACTGTTTGCCATGTTCCTTCACTAGTGTTGGTGAAGTCAAGACGAGGAAGAGGAAGGAGGTTGAGAAGAAATATGAAGATAATCTGATGGAACCCGAGCTCAAATATTAACTAAGACCATCAGAATCTAAGAGTCATATCACACATCTAAGAATTAAAAAAAAAAAATCAAAATAGACAAAATCATATTACAAAATAAAAAAATACTGAAAATCGTATCACAAAATCTTGAGAATATAATAATTTACAATAGAACAGGTCTGAGAGAAATGAGAAGATTCTGGATAAGAAGGAGATTGGTGCCGTCAAATGTCATTCCTTGTGTAACAGTGATAGCACCAGTAGGAGGCTATATGCTGCCATTGAAGAAAGATGGTGGTATGTGAAGGCGGTTGAACATAGAGAGAAGGAAGAAGATTTTGGAGAAGATAAGAAAGAGATGCCATTGAACATTCTGATGAAGATAAAGAGATGCCATTGAATATTTTGAAAAGAGAAAGGGACACCAGTGAACTGCTTAAGACTGTATATCAAGTGTCAACCTAAAAAATTTTTAATATAGACTGTTCTGGGTTACCTGAACCCATTGGTTAAACTCAACCTGCAAGCCTAATAGTAGATGTTGGGCCGGGCTTGGTTCCAAGCCTATCAGGTCATGCACGCTCCTATGTAGTATAGTCGCAGATGACATTGCCAAACTTATGCTTAGTGGTTGCATATAGCAACATCCTATTCATAGCTTCGTAAGTTTGAAGTACGTCAAATTGTATACGGTTTTTGCACTATTAGCGAAGTGTTTATCCTCACTTTCTGATTCATTTAAAAGGATATCATTTTTGCTTTCTGAAAGTGTTAAAAACTGTTTTCTCAAATATTAGTCTTAAAAACAAACTTTTTTGATAAATACACAGTTGTATGAGTGTCTGCTAATGCCTATACAATAACAATCATACTTTAGCAATTTTCTTGGAAGCTTGTAAAATATTGAAAATACTGATGAAACTTTGAATTTACAGGTTAGCAGCCTTCGTCAGGAATTGCAACTTCTTGCTAGAGATAGAACAATCACCATTGTAAATGCCAGTGGATCAGTTTCTGGTTATTCGCCTTCTTTCACACATTAATGGACTGTTTTGTTTCTGTTTAATTGTTACTAGTTCAGGCCATTTTATTACATTATCACAGCTCTTTTGCAACATTTGGACAAAAATAGGTTTAATTACAGGGTCTTGCTATCCTGAAATTATATTTTATTTTTCTTTTCTTTTCAATAGTTTGCAGTATCTGCTGACTGGCTTTTGAAATGCTCAGGTGCAGGAAAATATGGTACAGTAATTATTATTGTGGTGGTGGGATATGGCTACATTTGGTGGAAGGTAAGAATATGCTTTTCCTTTTTTGGTTGGCAGAATCATCAATTAGCTTACAAGCACGTTTTGTGCTATGGCTCGGTAGTTTCTATGTATGCTGAGTATATTATATTTAAATTGTACATGTAAGGTGGTTGAACTCTATTAATCCGTAGGTATTAATTTGTTTGCAACTTTCTCTTTTAATGTTGAGATTTGGTCAAATGATAGTTGTGGCTGACTGCATGTATTTTGTGATTTCTCCCTAAATGGTTGGAACAGTCTAATGTAAAATGTGACATAGCGTAATTGCAATTATAGTAGGCTTTCTTGTCTCGTGTTGAGCTCTAGTAATGTTTTTGCCAAATATTTTGACATAATGTGTCACTAATGAGATTGAATTGATGGGTGTGTTTGGGTATAATTTATACCAAATTGGATGGTAAAACAATCGGGTGTTTGGAATGTTTTAAATGTATAAAACTACCTTCCTATCTGGAATTCTGTTATGTACAGTTCTTTGCCAGTAGGTTTTACAAATGTTTGCACCTTCCCGTTGGTTGAGTTATATGGCTGTTGCATTTTTTCAGGGATGGAAACTTCCTGATTTGATGTTTGCAACAAGGCGTAGTTTATCTGATGCTAGCACAAGTATAGGCAATCAGCTGGGGAAGGTTTATGAATCAATTGAGGTAGGCCTTTTTATTCTATTTTCTATAGGCTGCCCCTCTTAGTTTGTTGCAAAACTATTAGTTTCTTTCAATGGTGAGATTAAATGATTACTTACTATTGGAAAAGAAATTAAATGATTGCTCGGTGTATTGATCTTGATCATGTGGATTTTTCCTTTGATAGTGTCATTGCGTACCTGCATTTGTCAATTTTATTGTGATGATAGGATTTGCTAGGAAGGTTCATTATTGAACCTGAGGCATTATCATATTTGAAATCATGTCAATGAAGACTTAGATGAAATATACACAATAGTGTTGCACTTCTATGGATGAAATATACACAATAGCGTTGCACTTTTATGCTTTGGAATACCTGAGAATGGCTATTCACTTATTTGCAATGGTTTCAGGAGGCCAAGAAGAAGTTATCTGCAAGAATAAATCGCCTGGATAGCAGTCTAGATGAGTGTGCTGCTCTAACTGAAAATACAAGGGTGGAGGTAAGTAAAAAATTTGGAAGTTGTGGACTTATGGTTTTAGCTTATTGGTCATTGATAATTGAGTATATTTTATTGTAGATCTCTGAAATACAACGGGAAACAGATACTATATGTGGGGATTTTTCACATGTTCGCGTTGCCGTCCGTGTTCTGGTGATTCAATTATAACGATTTCTTTTCTTTTGTTTTCTTCCCTTTTTTGTGTTTCTTGCTGGCTGTGTAATTATCTAATTTCTTCTTTTGCTTCTCAGGAATCTAAAATAAAAGAAATAGAAGGGAAGCAGGTATTATCATATTACATATTAATTTTTTGAATTAGTACGTGAATTTTCTCTTGTTTGTATTTAATAGGAATGATATTATACAAGATTGACGATTACAATTTAATAATTATTTTCTATCTTCTTTAGGCATCCACAACCGACAGAGTAACTGAATTGTGTCAATTTGCCATGAAATTGGAGAATGGCAAACCCACAGAGCGCATTCAGGCATGGGCTGAATGATCTTTATGAATGGATTATCTTTGTTTGGCTTGGCCTCGAAATTTGAATTTTGTTTCTTTATGATGCTAATAATTGAAGTTTTAATTATACAGGCATCTTCCTCCAGTTCTTCCAGGCCAGCTCTTGATTTACCACCTGTTTCACCCAGCTCCAGGGTAAGGATTATGTTTCCGAGGCTAATTAATTATTGCATATTTGCATTCATGGTCTCTATAAGACTGTTGGAAATTAGTAAACTCTTTGCTTGCAAGTTTTGCTAAAATTAATGGCACACTTGGTAGCTGAAGAACATGTTCATTACATTAAGTTTGCTTGATATAACCATTTATAGGCGTTTTTTGAAAGAACTTTGTTACCTGGTTTTTACAGGTATTACCATCAAGTTCTTTAAGGCTATCTTTAGAGCAACCATCTGTCACACCCTTATCAAGGGTAATTTTTATTGTAGTCCTAGACTTTGATCTGCAAAAGATATCTAAGAATTATAATTATAATTCATATTAGTACAGCTAGGTACCATGATTTACTGGAAATCTGGTATTTTTCATTCTATATGGTTGATGGGTAGTGCAATTTAGAATCTTACAATCACATCTGAAAGCTAGATCTCAGTCAAACCCCATTGAGCAGGAGCTGCAAAAGAAAGTTTTTTCCCTACTTCATTTTAAATCTTTTCTTTTGGATATCATGACATGCTCAGCTGCATCAATTTGGTTAGAGCATTATGTGCCAACTGCCTCCCCATCAAACTGCCCCCCAAGGGACCTCTTTTTTTTTTTCCATTCCCCCAATTATCATCCAAACTATGAGTAAATTTATGTTTATTTAGTGTTTGCTGCCATTATTACGAATTTATTTCACTATCTGCTTTTGTAGCCGGTTATTAGTTATTGATTTTCATCTTTTACAAAGGACCATGTACTTCAACAGACTGGGTCCTTGCCTCCAAATTTGTCAACCGATCCAATATCTCCCTCATATTCTGCGGGACGATGCCAGGTTTTGAGCCTTTTGACTTACTGGACTTGGCTGTGTTTTGGGACAGTTCTTGTTCATTATTGTTGAATAATCTTATTACTTCCTGTCCTTAATATAAGAGCTAGTTTAGCTTTTAATTTGGTCATAAATATGAAACTACAATTCATTTTGTTTTTCATATTTATCTATCTTTTTCAAAATAGTCCTTGTAGTAGTTGTCTATATTAAAAGTTCCATCAAGTAATAGTTTTAGTTAGTACATCTGAAAAACAAGGGTATTTTAGGAAAGACAACATCTATTTATTACAAATAAATAACTTACTTGATTTCCTTAATCTCGCTAAATTAGTCAACTAGGTCTTATATTAAGGATTAGAAGTAGTATTTAGAAACTTCCTATCCCATGTTTAGTTTATCGCCCATGTTTTTGCTAGATAAACAGCTCTTTCATACCACTTGTGGCTTTGGTCTCAAGTGTCTTTCTGGGAATAATTACAATTTCTCTTCCCTTAAATCTTTTATTGCTCCACTGCTATCAGAAGAGTGCTGTCCTTGAAATGTCTGGAGTGTCATTCCTTGCTTTCATATTTTTGAAATATTTCATTTATGAATCTTCCTTTCAGGAGAGCAATGGAATTTCAGACGCAATTAATTCCCCTAGCAGTGCTGCGGGTTCTAATGGGATCCTTCCTAAAGAGGACAAAGCCCCTGTTGGTTCAGGTTATGGCTTGCTTGGGCGATTTCTTACAAGAACGCGTAGTGCTACAGATTCAGCATCACAATTTACTCGTTCCAATGCTTAATAACCCTGGTTTTCTTCTAAGTTGGTCAATACCAATATATCCTGTAGACCAATGGACCTTGCCCTGGGTGGAATGTCTCCGCCAATTGGTGAGGTTTCTCAGAGGTTTCCTATTTAGGTTCTGCCCATTAAGGTCTGATAAAAAATGACTGGGCAGTGATTTTTGTAGAGAATTCATAATTTACTGTTTTAGTTGGATTAAATTAAAATCATTAGTTAGTCGGATACTTGTTGGTGACTTTTGGAAGAGCAACGGAAGATTAAGTGGCCGTTGAACTGTTACAGACTCGTTTATTCACCATACCCATTATCAATAGAGTGCAAGTTTGAACGAACTGTTTGGAGGGTTCCCCACCATTTTGGTTATATATATTCTGAATCTACTTTTTAGGTACGGGCTGGGATAAACCTGCTAAAAAGTCCCATTGTAATGGGCATGTGCTGTTGTTATCTAGCAGTTATGCAATAAAGTAATCCATCTTTGGATCCCTGTTTACTAGTAGTGGTCACTGTTAAATAAGTTTTGAATTTTATATCAATGTCCAAATGTCTTATCTTCTTTTCCCTGTAATTCCAGTTTTATTTGCAATACATTTCGCAACTAGTCTCAATTGACACCAGTTATGTATTGTGTTTAGCAACACTTTGCTGCATCTATGATTCGCAGTGTAATAATTGAGTGACACGTTTGGAAGATTTGTGTTAACGAGTGTTTAGACTGGCAGGTCAATCGGCTTATGTGTTGAACACAAAAGCAAAAAGGTAGCTTTTGAGTGTTGCATTGAAGTTAATGATATGTGGGGTGGCGTTGCTAAAATAGTGCTGAGATGTGCTCGGAATTTAAACGTAATAATGTGTTTTTGTAACATTACATTTAGTATAGGTGGTTTGTCATATTTTTTTGTGCAATTGTTTTAATTAGTATGCACCTCGATGATTGTAGGGAGCTATGAGCCTGAAAATCACTATTTTATTATTTACTATTCAAATCACTTAATTTACTCACGAGGGTTGTCTTCCATGGAGTTTATGAAAATTGTTTTTTTTTAAAAAAAAAAAATTTTCATGAGGACATTTTCCACATACGATCTTAAGTAGAGGTGTAGAAGGATTGGCCTAATTAATTCAAGCGAAGACTAACAAAGGAGAGTTTAACACGAAAGAAAATGACACAGGGGCCTCCTGAGGTTTATGACGACGGAGAAGGACCATGAATTTATAAAATGGCATATGAAAGTTCACGATAAAGATTTTTCAAGAAATGAAGTACTATAGATCAAATTGTCCTGACTCAATTTTTTTTTTGGCCAAAATGTTCTAACTCAATTGGGAACAAATAAATTGCTAAAAATCAAAAGGCTTTTTACTGGTCGGATTATAATTTTTTTTTTAAAAAAAACATGACAATTAAGAACTTGTTAAGTTATCATTTCAACTATAGATTTTCAATTATTGAAAATTCATTTAAAGATTACTGGGAGACAACTCTATTCCAGTGAACCACCTGCTTTTTTTAAGTGATTTGGTTGAACTTGACAGGTGATGACTTCAGTAGTTTTATTCACAATTTATGAAATTGTTTTTATTTTTGTCATAACTAGAATACTTTTGTAAGACATTTAAGCCTAACTAAGATATGTGAAAAAATGTTGCCATAACTAGGATACTTTTGTAAGACATTTAAGCCTAAGATATGTGTAAAAATGTTGTCATAACTAGAATACTTTCGTAAGAAATTTAAGCCTAACTAAGATATGTGAAAAAATGTTAGAAGAGTATAAACATAATTACATAGAGGCTAATAACATAGATGGGAAATATTTGAAACAATAAAAAAAAAGTGCAAGAAATTCACAAAGAAGGGTAAACCACTAAACCCACACCATTTATGGCTTGGCAAGAATGCCACTCCTTTTAAATTTGTGTATCATAACAATCGAGGCTTTTCCTTGAAATTTTGGCTGTTCGATTATTAAGGCAGTATATTGTATATGCTGTCAGATGAGTATGCATTGTGCCTATTCAGTTTTTATTTTTAATTTTTATACAAATTTAGTTTATATAAATGGTAAAAAAAAAAACAAAAAGAAAAGCTAGGTACGCAATCCATTAAAAAAGAAATTTTTTTTGGTTCAAAATCTTAATATATACTGAATAACAAATTATAAAATATAACAAATTAGTACGAGAAAATCTGATATAAAGCTGACTTAAATGGAATTTCAAATGAAGTTGAACAATTTAACAAACCCTAATTCGTCCATAGGCTTAATTTGAGGTTCGTGAATGTTGGATGATTTACCATATTGTTCCTCACTTACACCTATGGCTAGAGCTCCAGTGACAAACTGTGACTAGAACTCTGCTGACAACTGACAACTTTATCACAGTAAGTTTTGTTATGAATAGCTAATGAAAACTTATGAATTGCAAAATTGGATTTTGTTTATTTTTGAGGCTGTCTTATGATTAGATAATAATAAAGGTTTTATTGAAGAGGGCAATTTTATTGCGAAAGTTTTGTTGTGATAAACTAATAAGGAATTATGAATTACTAAAGTGAACTTGTTAACTTCTGTGTCTACCTTGTGATTCAATTAACAAATCCAAATTCCTATTAGCTATTCACACAACAAAACTTTTACAATAAAATTGCACCCTTTAATAAACCTTCGTTGTTATTCGATCACAAGAAAGACTCATAGATTTACAAGTTTAATTTAGCAACTCGTTAGTTCTCATTAACTATTCAGAAGAATATTTTTGCAATAAAGTTGGCATCTTTAATAAACATATGTTGTTATTCAACCACAAGATAGGTTTAGAAATAAACAAATTTTATTTAATGATTAAAAACAAAAATCTTGCAATAAAATTATCTCCAGAGCTTCAGCCACCGTCGTTGCCAGAGTTCAGCCGCGGGTAACAAGAAGATGGTCCTCCTCCGCTTGGGTAAGCTTTGGTACGATCCAGGTGGATGAGGAACCTGTGGTGGTTTTCGTCCTGCATCATTCATATATATTTACTGATTAAATTAATAGAGGAATATGAATCAAGTCCCTGATTACAGAAACCAGCAGGTGGTTGCTAAAAAGGCGATGAGTAACAACAGCATTATTGGCAGAATAGAAGGAAATGACGACAAGATTATGATTGCGTAATTATTGTGGAATTACTTGGACAGCTAATATTTATATTTCCCTTTTGAAATATTCAAAGTTGTTGAATTATAAAATAGGGAGAATCTCATTTAAATCCAGTTGAAATACTAAGATCTAAAATTAGGCCTACAATTTGAACAAATCCCTAATTAGGCCACCTTTTAGGGATTTATGAATGTTGTTAAAAGTCTAGAATACCCCTCTACAATTATAATATAAGTTGTTACCTATATATTTTTCTTCCCCACAAATTCTTTTCTTAAAAATTTTTTTTGCCAAATTTTTCAAATTTTGAAAATAGTAAATCTTTAATAGATGACAGTAAATTACAACACAGTCCTTGATTCATATTAATGATTAATCTAGCACCATTATCAATATAACAGCATAGGTACTGATAGATTTTAATTTTGGATGGATTTAATTTCTACTTAGTTTTAATATTGATCCATCCTCCGTATACTTCATAATACACACAAATATAATTTTTTTTTTAACTCATACATTTTTTCAAATAGAACACACACATATATTTTAAGGGTAAAAAAACTTATTCAGACAATAAGTTTTTCTACAAATTTTGGATTGATGACAATATTATAATTTATTATTTTCATATTTTTGGAAAAAAATTTATAGGAGAAAAATATATAAGTATCAGCTCATATTTTAATTATAGAAGGACATTTTGGTCTTTTTAATAATATTCATAAATCTCTAATTAGAAATTAATTCAAAATGGAGGCCTGATTTTGAATTTCAATATTTCAAGTGGATTTAAACATGATTCTCCCTATGAAATATATTTGATATTTTAAATATTGTTTATCAGGGAATAATTAAATTTGTTGAGGAGTAGTGGCTCAATTTAATGCTCATATTGCCGGTTCGATTCGCTCCTGTAAATGTTTTATTCACATATGATGTTGTAAGCAGGGCCTATCCTGCCCAGTCTTTTTTTCTTTTTTTCTTTGGTCCAAAAGATGTCATTTATAAAAGATTGAAGAACATCAACCTACACCAGCTCTAACAGTACCTAGACATGAGTTCAACAATTCTGACTCCAAAATCTTAACTAGAGGGACTGGGGGGAAGGGGACCAACCACACCAAGACAGACCCTTTACAGACTCTTTAGCTAACCAATCAGCAGCTAAATTTCCAGAACGAGGAATATATGATAAGGAAATATTGGCATTGGACTTGAAAACTGCCGCAAGCTCATCTACCAAAATACTTGCTTGCCAATCTTGACAAAAACTCTGATTTTTTACAACATCTACCAGCGCTTTACAATCTGACTCCACATGAATTTTTCCCAAGTCTGCTTCTGCTATGCTTTTTACTGCCTCTATAAGAGCCATTGCTTTTGCAAAAAAAGGTGAAATTGCTGTACACTTCCTGGCACATGCGTTTACCACCTGCCCTGCATCATTTCTCAAGACAAAACCAAAACCACTATCCTTATTAGTTTCAGAAAAAGCGCCATCCACATTGAGCTTTTCGGGGATAAATCCCAAGCTTGTGAAGTTGAAACAGAAACAGAGGGGGTATCATCAGCTACAAACCACTCTTTTGTTGTCCAAAGATCATTAACAGCTTTAGTGGCAGAACCGAGAACCCAAGTCAAGTCAAAAGTACAACGCTCATATAGATCCATACATCTATTTTTCCAGATATACCACAAGATATAAACTAGCAAAGCTTGAGCATAACCATCATTCTTTAGCTTAGACATAATCATAATGAACCAATCCATAAAAGAATGGATATTAGAGTCAGACATTATCAAGCCTAAAGGACTCACAAACCACAGCCTTTTTACCCAATCACACAGCAAAAGAAGGTGCACAACAGATTCACTCTTTTCACAACATTTAAAACAGCAAGGGGATTAGTGCATTGCATTATGGCAGACCCTCCAAATAAAAGATTTTATTTTTGGTTGTACTTTGAGATTCCAAATTAAGTTCCAAACTCCCTTATCATTCAAATTGGACGAACTAGGCCCCTCTGGATTGTTTAATCCTTTAGCTTTGAGGTACATGTATCCCAATTTAACAGTATAAAGTCTATTAAAATTCTGGATCCAATGAACTCTATCTTGAATGCCTTGCCCTGGGATCACAACTTCAAGAATTGCATGTTTCACTATATCAGGAAGATCTAACTCTCTTATCTCCCATCTCTCCCTAATGAAGTTAGCAACCATTCCTAAGACTCCTTGTTTAGGAACCAGATGTTCAGGAATCCTACTAGAGGGGAGTAAAGGAATCCAATTATCTCTCCAGAAGTCAACACGAGTACCAGTTCCTATCTGCCAAAGGATATTATTTTCC